CCTCCGGTCCCACCAGGTTGCCTTTGCCCCGGCAGGGGGAAGGAGGCCCCCCGGGCAGCAGGGACGCCACAGCCACTGCTCACGCTGGCACCGCAGAGACGGCACTGGCGACCTCAGTAAGCGGGGCTGGCCCCTCGAGAGGTGGGGGAGCTGCTGTCCCTCTGCTCCGCGACTGGGGCCGGCGGTGCGGGGGGGGACCCTGCCCCACCGGGGGTGTCTGCGGAGGGCGACCTGCCGTGTTTGCCCCCGCATTGCGTCCGAGCCAACGCGCCCGTTTGCTCTTCTTTCAGGATCACAGCGCCAAGGCTGGGAAAGGGACCGCTCCCGCGACAGACCTTCGCGGTGAGGGGGGGGACGTGGTGCCACCAGCCAGGCCAAGTGGTGGGGAGGGAGCGAGGCAGCCCTGTGGGGCTGGGGGTGGGCTGGGGTTAGTCGCATGGGCCCCCTCCTGTGTTCCCAGCACTGGCACCCTTGGCTGGTGTGTTGGTACTGGGAAGAGCAGAAGGATGCTCAGAAGGATGGGGAGCGAGATGGCAGGGGACCCCCTGCCTGTGGCCTTTCTCCTGTGCCAGATATGCACCGTGAGCATCTGCTCGAGGAGGATAATGCCTAAAAAATAGCCAGTCCCTGGTGAAGCCTCATAGCGGGCTGAGATATCTTTAGCCCTGGGTGTCCTGCCTGGCCACCCAAGGCCACACGCAAAGTCTCCTGACTCCTGGTGGACGTGACGGCCATCAACGACCCTGCCCAGCAGCAGGCCTTCCTGCGTAAAGTGTTTTCCTACTCGATTGCCTCATTTCGTTGGAGTCAAGCCTGGCCAAACGCCACGTGCTGCCCCAGGCTTTGTGCAGCAGGGAGAACGTACCCGGCACTGTGTGGCTGGGGCACCAGCGCAGCCTTCCCAGCCCTCGCCACGCAAAGTGGGACGGACACAGCTAGAGGTAGCCTGAGAGCTCTGCGCTTAGGGTGGCTCTGAGGGTGGATGGGGGAGAGCAAAACGCAGCCATGAAATCATCTCGCCGCTGCAGAGGCCCTTTCCTGCAGCTCTGGGCTTGGGGTAGCTGTGGAAACCTCTCCCTGGCCTCCCCCAAAAACTGAGGTCCAGTTGGAAGCACAGTGCAGTGTGGTTTTGTCCCTTGCCACTCTCTCCCCTCCCGTGCTTGGCTGAGTAGGCGCGTCCCGGTGGGAAGGTCCCAGCTCTTTGGGAGCCAGCACTGGGGGCTCCCCTGTGGCGGCCCCGCTGATGCCGCTGCTCTCTGTCCTGCAGGTCACCAGCGGCTCTGCTGGGAAGGAAGCGCTCACCAGCATATTCAGTGCCACTGCGGAAACCCTCTCCACTTCCACCACTACCCACGTTACCAAGGTAAGAGCAGCTCCAAAGGAGGCAGCCGGGGGGTTCCTGATGCAAGCCACCGGAATTTGCGGATGGGTGGATTTATATTGTGGTTGGTACAGCAGAAAATGCCCCTCTTCTCCTTACAAGCCGAAAAAGCATATGCTGTCCCATGGGGGATGGCGAGCCAGCACAGCACCCCATGCCTCGCTCTGAGCACCCCGTGCCTGGTTCAGCCCTGCTGCGCTGCCTGTCCCATCCAGCCAGGCGTGACCGCAGGGGACTGCAGGCAAGGACAGCCAGGCATCGGGTGTTCATCACCTGCGTACCACCCACGGCGACTGTGAACACATGCTGTGCCCACCTCTACTCGTTGGTAGATTGGGAGGGCAGGGAGTCGTTGGGGCGAGAAGGAAGAGCAGCGTGCAGTGTCGCTGACCTCCTGAAGCCAGCTGCAGGGGAGGAAGGGACTCCGAATTAGGCTGCCAGCAGCATGCATGCGAGTCCCTGCCCGTGCAACTGGGGTGAGTGTTCCCAGATGTACCTAGAGCCAGACCCCAGGTCCCCCTGGCCCACGAAGCCCACAGCAGCAGTGCTGGAGCATCTCACCTTGTGTCACGGGAGCTGTGTTAGCGTGGGGTGTATTGGGTTTATTAGAGCTGGAGTCGGGCAGGCGAGGGGGAGTGATGGTAGGAAACGAAGGAGACGAGGCTGCATCGGAGGACCTCACCCGTGGCCATTTCATTCCCAAATTAAATGCACGTAAAGGAAAGCAGAAGCACAGTGAGGGACCTGAGCAGGAAGGAAGGGTGCTCGGTACCTGCCACCAGACCCTTTTCCTTTCCCCCCCACCTGTGGCCAGCTGTGTCTTGCCGGTTCTAACCATGCACCGAGTCCAGGGTAGTAGGAGATACACTAAATTACAGGGGGAGTTGTAAGGTGATGCTGGCGTTGTCCCTCCTCCTGTGGGCAGAGCTACATCTGCCAGCAGCTGGCTTGTCGGAGAGCTGTGGGTGAGTGCTTTCCTTCTTGTTGTGCAGACTGTGAAAGGAGGGTTTTCCGAGACCCGGATAGAGAAACGCATCATTATCACAGGAGATGAAGACGTGGACCAGGACCAGGTAGGAGCAGGACGCCCTGGCTTTGCCTGGCTCTGGCTGCCCCTGACTGCAGCACCGCATGCTTCTGGTTCTGGCTCGTACCTGTTTACTCCTTCTCTCCAAAAACTGACCCCTGAGGCCCCAAACCTACCAGCTCTGTCTGGCAGTGCAGGTCCCATGGGGTGCAGTGGCACCCACGTGAAGCCCCAGCCCAGCTCCCATCAGCGCCCGCTCCAGCAGTGAAGCAGCAGTAAAGGCTACAGCCCAGCACAGAGCCCAGTGACAGGATCACCTTTTTATTTTCTTAAAACACGTTTCCAGTTGCCCTTTCTCTATTGAAATACTCCAAAGTGACCCAGGTTCTTCTTCTCTTTCCAGCACAGTCTCACTACAGGTTGACTCACTCCAAGTGATGGTGTTTTACATCTGCCTCCATGATAGAGGAACAAAAAGTGACAAACTTTTATGATGAAATAACAGAGATTGACACAAATCTTTAGGGCCACGGGGTCATTTTCCTGTGGCCTAACCCTTTGGGATTTGTTGCTTAAGAAGAAAAATTAGAGAGCTAAGTATTTAAAAGGCTCTAAAATAATTTTTAGATTTTTTTAGAATTATAATAATAAATTTAATTAGATTATTATTGTAGATTTTTCTAGGGTTTTGCTGCAGTGAGAATTGCTGCTCTTCCTTTGCTTGGGTTTCAGTAGGGAGCCTGGGACTTAGCGCATCTCTACAGAAAAAAACAGCAAGAGAAAGACAGTGCATGAGGCATCCCGATGGTGTACGAATTCCAGCCTCTTCTGCCAGGCTACTATGGGTTCAGCTTTGAACCTCTGCATCCATGTCCTCCTCAAACCCCACTCAGCTCCAGCTGCTTTCTGTCCACTGGTTCTGTCTGGCTGAGAGCAATGTGCCAGATTTCAGGGAAATGATGATAAATGCTTTCATCCTTCTGCTTTCTAGGCACTGGCTTTAGCAATCAAAGAGGCAAAACTACAGCATCCCGACATGCTGGTAACCAAAGCTGTAGTATACAGAGAAACAGAACCTTCTCCAGAGGAAAGGGACAAGAAACCTCAGGTAGGTGGAGAAGTTACCAGGTATGATTGATACCTGCTGTGTAAAGGGGTGGATGTAACTGGGCAAGCCTCTCTGATCCCCACCAGCTGCAGGTGCTGGTAGGTGTTGCTGCTCCTTGGCATTGAGTGGCAGCTCTCGGCCAGTGGTTCCAGTGTGATGGTGGCTCCAGGCATGGCCACATGGTTGTGGTCAGAAAGCCAGTGCCATGCCACCTAAAGCAATTCTGCAGGTGTCACCTTGCTGTCCTGCTCAGCAGAGGGGTCAGAGTCATTTGCATGTGAAGAAGAAAAGACCTGCTTTTCCCACTGGGGCGGGGAAGGAAAGAGGTGATACCAGTTTTGTGGATGGGCTGAGAAACTAGGCTACAGGTTCTGCAAAGCCAGTCCAAAGTATCAGACCGGTGTTTGCAAAAGAAGAGGTTTCTTTAGTCCCATTCAGATCCCCAGGTTCTGACCCGCACATGCAGGTGCAGGCAGCAGCACACAGGTTTGCACCTCCCCGCAGGTGCCCCAAAGCAGTCACAGCCCCAGACATTTTTCTTCAGGGCAAAGCTGGCTTGAGGAGTCCTGCCCCACTCTTGACCCCCTACTCTGACCCCCTTGCTCCCCCATCAGCCGGGTTGCTGCAGCTCTTCGGTGGTGGCACAGCCCAACAGACCTCTGTGCCAGAGCAGCTGAGGGGCAGAGGAGCATGGTGGAAAGGAGAGGGAGAGCTTCTGATGGCAGCTTCACTGCTGAAACGTGTATGAGGAGCTCTGTCACCAGCCAGGCTGCAGGTGCATTTCGAGAGGCCTCTTTAGAAATGTGATTTTGTGTTTCTTAATCATATGAAGATTTTGATTGGCAGCTTTTAAGCTTGGAAAAGCGCCCAGCTCCGTTGCAGCTTGGAAGGTCAGAAGAGGCTCTTGCATCTGCCTAATCTTACCTCCTATCGCACAGTACAAACAAGCAAACCCAGACACTTCTGCATCGCTTAGGGAGCCACCCAATTTTAACTGAATGGCTTAAAGTAAGGGAGCAGTGACTCACCGTTATCGCCCCCATACACCAACCCAGTGAATTCACCAGCCCAGTGAATTAAGAGTTCCTGCTAATTACCAGAGGTAATTAGTGCAAACTGCAGCCCCAAGTGTTTGCAAATTTACTGTCAGTGCCCTCATACAAAGGGGAGCCCTTTTATAGCCGAAGAAATCAGCACCCCATGACTGGTCGTTTCCATCTGCCTTGCACAGGAATCTTGACCAACATGTTCATGGAAGTCGGCATCTGTATTCAAACCTGGAGAACAGCGGAGAAGGAGCCTTCATGCTGGATTTGTCAGCAAGACATAGACATCCTGGCTGCAATGTTCATGGCGAGAGACAAAAATTTTTAAAAAAGGAATAGCAAATATATTATATATATATATA